CAGACGCCACAACAACTGCGTGCCGCACAATCATCCCGGACCACTTTGAGGAAGGCTAGGGAGAAACGAGTCGAGAGGTCAATACTGATCAGTCCCTCAAATGACATACTTGTTCGTGTGCATAAATAAATTGTTTTCATACCATTTTCAGTTATCTATCAATTTTTCTGTATGAGTATTGCATACTTTTCAACAGACGCAGTTCACCATTATGGCAAGATACGCGATGCATGTATAAAAAGGCGACAGATAATAAGGGCGTGACTTATTTAAGTTGGACAGAAAATGCGGTGCATGCTGACAGGTTCCTATGCGATTTAATAGTGCTCAAACTAAAGAGGAAATCCTTAAATTTTTTGGCGCTCGCTGAACCTTAATAAAATGAAACAATATGGAGTATGTGAACCCTCCTGCTTACGAATAAGGTGAGATTTGCCGCCGTGCAGTCGGATCATTGCTAGCATGACGGGGGCCCCTATGCAAAGTCTCAAATCTAGTGAAAATTGGTTCAATGGTTGGATTTTATTAGAATTGTCACTTATTCCATGTTGAAGCGTTAAAAAGTAATAACCTGAAGGCATTTCGCTAATTTAATCCTGTTTACAATGTTAAATATATCATATGCTGCAGAACTGAAGTTAGCCTATCGTCAGGGCAAAGTTAATTTTCTGACTCAGGCATCGCAAATCTGCTCAAACTTTGCCAGCTTCAATAGGCTTATGTAATTAACTTTTCACTGCGACTTCATCAGATAGGTATTTTTCGACGTAATTTATGCAACTACGGCTCTCGGCATGCAATCACACTAGCAAAGCATTTTGATCAAGAAAGCTGACATCAAGTCTCCTGCACACAATGCGAAATAAACAAAACATCTAATCAGCTTACTCCTTTAACAAAGAAGCACATAAAAGACAATTATTTTCAGAGAAGCAGAGCATAGCTCTTCCTCATCGAATCCAGTCACTAACAGATAGCAGTTTGCAAATCGGCCAATGAACTTAACAGCATTATCGAAGTTTCATCTGCATGTTGCTGCTGAGGTTCTGTCAGATGTAGACATTTTTTCCGAAAAAGGGTGCTATTTCTGTCGGTTAGTAATGCATTGTCCCATGCATTTATTGCTTTATCATTCTTTTCATGTCATCGACTGTGTTCAGTCTCTGAGTTTTCCGCCGTTCCAAGATTGTTTCTTAGTTGTCTTTTCCCCAGCAGCAATTTTGGTGCGTGATTTCTGATAGTCTGCATTTTCTTCACATTTTGTCTGATCATATTTGCATTTGCTTCACGTTCGCTTACTGATGTTTCCATCAACTGACGGCTTTAACCATCGATCGAAGATTATAAATTGCTATGGTTAAGAGGTCTGTTTCTACCCAACAAGTACTGATTCGATCCCGCTCGAAGGTAACCCTCAATTTATTTACATATTCTCATGAGCAAAGAATTCAAGCCCGAACGGGGCCATTCGCGTTTATCTGTTTGAGGTGTATAAATCAGTTCCACTTGATGGAAATGAAACAGGAGACTACTCACTGTCTCTACCATATTGCTACTATTGACACTGTCCTTAAAAT